GTTTTAGAATGTTGTTACAGTATGTGGTTGCTAGGGTGTTCTGAGTGTGTTTTAGAATGTTGTTACAGTATGTGGTTGCTAGGGTGTTCTGGGTGTGTTTTAGAATGTTGTTACAGTATGTGGTTGCTAGGGTGTTCTGAGTGTGTTTTAGAATGTTGCTACAGTATGTGGTTGCTAGGGTGTTCTGAGTGGTTTTTAGAATGTTGTTACAGTATGTGGTTGCTAGGGTGTTCTGGGTGTGTTTTAGAATGTTGTTACAGTATATGGTTGCTAGGGTGTTCTGGGTGTGTTTTAGAATGTTGTTACAGTATGTGGTTGCTTGGGTGTTCTGGGTGTGTTTTAGAATGTTGTTACAGTATGTGGTTGCTAGGGTGTTCTGAGTGTGTTTTAGAATGTTGTTACAGTATGTGGTTGCTAGGGTGTTCTGAGTGTGTTTTAGAATGTTGTTACAGTATATGGTTGCTAGGGTGTTCTGGGTGTGTTTTAGAATGTTGTTACAGTATGTGGTTGCCTGGGTGTTCTGGGTGTGTTTTAGAATGTTGTTACAGTATGTGGTTGCTAGGGTGTTCTGAGTGTGTTTTAGAATGTTGTTACAGTATGTGGTTGCTAGGGTGTTCTGAGTGTGTTTTAGAATGTTGTTACAGTATGTGGTTGCTAGGGTGTTCTGGGTGTGTTTTAGAATGTTGTTACAGTATGTGGTTGCTAGGGTGTTCTGAGTGTGTTTTAGAATGTTGCTACAGTATGTGGTTGCTAGGGTGTTCTGAGTGTGTTTTAGAATGTTGTTACAGTATGTGGTTGCTAGGGTGTTCTGGGTGTGTTTTAGAATGTTGTTACAGTATGTGGTTGCTAGGGTGTTCTGGGTGTGTTTTAGAATGTTGTTACAGTATGTGGTTGCTTGGGTGTTCTGGGTGTGTTTTTAGAATGTTGTTACAGTATGTGGTTGCTAGGGTGTTCTGGGTGTGTTTTAGAATGTTGTTACAGTATGTGGTTGCTAGGGTGTTCTGAGTGTGTTTTAGAATGTTGCTACAGTATGTGGTTGCTAGGGTGTTCTGAGTGTGTTTTAGAATGGTGTTACAGTATGTGGTTGCTAGGATGTTCTGAGTGTGTTTTAGAATGTTGCTACAGTATGTGGTTGCTAGGGTGTTTTGTGATTTTTTTTAGAATTGCTACAGTATGGGTGTTGGGATTTTTTTTAGAATGTTGTTACAGTATGTGGTTGCTAGGGTGTTCTGAGTGTGTTGTAGAATGTTGCTACAGTATGTGGTTGCAAGGGTGTTTTGTGATTTTTTTAGAATGTTGTTACAGTATGTGGTTGCTTGGGTTTTCTGGGTGTCTTTTTTAGAATGTTGCTACAGTAAGACTAGGTTCTTTTTTACGTGTTTTTTTAGAACGTTGTTTACACTATGTGGTTGCTAGGGTGTTCTGAGTGTGCTTTAGAATGTTGCTACAGTATGTGGTTGCTAGGGTGTTTGGGGATTTGTTTTAGAATTGCTACAGTATGTGGTTGCTAGGGTGTTTTAGGATTTTTTTAGAATGTTGCTACAGTATGTGGTTTCTAGGGTTTTTTGAATGTTTTTTTTAGAATTTTGCTACAGTATGTGGTTGCTAGGGTGTTCTGAGTGTGTTTTAGAATGTTGCTACAGTATGTGGTTGCTTGGGTGTTTTGAGATTTTTTTTAGAATTGCTACAGTATGTGGTTGCTAGGGTGTTTTGGATTTTTTTTTAGAATGTTGCTACAGTATGTGGTTGCTAGGGTTTTTTGAATGTTTTTTTTTTAGAATTTTGCTACAGTATGTGGTTGCTAGGGTGTTTTGGGATTTATTTAGAATGTTGCTACAGTATGTGGTTTCTAGGGTTTTTTGAATGTTTTTTTTAGAATTTTGCTACAGTATGTGGTTGCTAGGGTGTTCTGAGTGTGTTTTAGAATGTTGCTACAGTATGTGGTTGCTTGGGTGTTTTGAGATTTTTTTTAGAATTGCTACAGTATGTGGTTGCTAGGGTGTTTGGGATTTTTTTTTTTTAGAATGTTGCTACAGTATGTGGTTGCTAGGGTTTTTTGAATATGTTTTTTTTTTAGAATTTTGCTATAGTATGTGGTTGCTAGGGTGTTTTGGGATTTTTTTTTAGAATGTTGCTACAGTATGTGGTTGCTAGGGTTTTTTGAATATGTTTTTTTTTTTAGAATTTTGCTACAGTATGTGGTTGCTAGGGTGTTTTGGGATTTATTTTAGAATTGCTAAAGTATGTGGTTGCTAGGGTGTTTTGGTGTTTTTTTTAGAATGTTGCTACAGTATGTGGTTGCTAGGGTTTCTTGAATATGTTTTTTTAAAATTTTGTTACAGTATGGGGTTGCTAGGGTGTTCTGAGTTGTTTCTAGAATCTTGTTTACAGTAGGGGGTTGCTAGGGTCTTTGCCAGCACCGCTAGCATGAAGTAGACAGTGTTTGTGCTGTAGTATTTGATCCACAGGGTGTACATCTCTGCAAGTCACTGAGCGTTTACTGGGTTCACACACACATCACATGACTCACGGCTACAGATCTACATCAGGAGAGAAATAAATAACCATGATTACATGCAGACCGAAGGGCCCTGAGGTGTTTGAGGAAATGAAAATATCTGTTGGGTTGAACTTGACTCGCGTACGCCACACAAACGCATCCAATTATGAAATACACTAGTAAATAATGCTAAATAATGGCTTTGAGTGGAGTTGAGCTGAAACACATCTGTGCTGCCTATCTCTGAATAGAAGATGCACTTTTATGATTAAAGCTCAAAAGGCTTGTAATGAGGAATTAAACTGCTGCTGTATGTTGCACGAGTGGAGCGGGAGGAAAGGTTGCTATGGGGTTGCTAAGGAGTTTTAAGAGGTTGTAAGTGCATTGCTACAAGAGTGTTGCAATGTTGTTGTTGCTGGGGTTTTTAAAAAAAAAATACTTTAAAAAAAACGATTAAGGCTGTGAGGGATGAAAGTTCTGTGTGTGTGTGTGTGTGTGTGTTGTCAAGCAGCAGATGCTCTGTTTATGTAACTGCATTTTCCAGCCCATCGCTGCAGATTTGCGCCTCTGTGAGATTGAAGCACATTAGCCTTGAGTGTGTGAAAGAACACACACATTATTAGCCACACATTCGGCTCCGACGCAGAGACGCTTCGTACATTCAGAGCAACAAGTCTGATTTCTGTAAAAGCGTCGTCCTTGTGTGTGTTTCTTCCAGAAGCAAATCCTTATTAATTCATTAAAGCAAGATGAATAGAAAAACTCCCGTGGTGTGTGTGTTTGTTCATTGTCTGACTCATGACTGGTTCTGTGTGTGTGTGTGTGTGTGTGTGTTATTCTCCATGAAGTGTAGGCACGTCCCCTCGACCTCTCCGCTGTCATCTGTCCTCCGCGGCTCACACACCCTCATGTGCCACTCACTGATATCCGGGAAATTAATTTCAGCAATTTGAAATGAAAGTGTATGTTATCTTATTTACAGCCGCTCTCAGTGCAGTGCCTCGTCAGTCTGGATCTGTGTGACGCTACAAACGCGTGTGATGACAAAGATGTTTAAAGACTGTATGTGTCTTTAAGCAGAACGTCTTCTCTGTGCCGTACACGAGTGATTACAGTGTAGAGAGTTTGTTAAAGAGAAGTTTAATATGCCTTTAATAACTCTTGGCTCTCTTGAATGTTGATTATTCTCCTCATATTCTCCATTGTTGCGGCTCCTCTCTTCCCAGTCTGTCAGTAATGCTCTGTTCACTTCCTGTCTCTATGAAGCCCCGCCTTCTGAAAAGCACACTGTGCTCTGATTGGTCGGCTGGAGCAGTGTGTTGTGATTGGTCGAGTGTGTTTGGGAAATGTCCCGCCCCTAACCATAACTGCCAGTTTAACACACTACTAACTAACTCAACCAGGCCCCGCCCCTTTATTCTGCGCATTAATTATTATAATGAGGAATATTGTGACGTATTCGTTCCCGGGAGAAACTCGAAACACAATGGAGGCGTTTCAGGAGTCCAGAAACACTGACTCTGATATAGACACGTTGCAGTAAGACTGAAATAATATTTTATGTAATAAAACGGTTAGTTCCAGTTCTTGATTCTGGTTGGTCAATAGCTTTGTTTTATTTACGACAAAACGCGGCTCTGGCCGCTTCACCCCACTTTTCTATGCATCACTACACAACACCCCTAGCAACCACTCTTAGCAACGTAAACAATATGTTCTCATGGATATTCCTGCATTTACAGTAGATATAGCATTTCCTATATTCATAATAAAAAATCCGTTTGAATGTCAATATCTCGTGCTTTAACAGTTAAAGGTTTTCCGCGACACGCTAGTCATTTGTCAATTGTTTCTTGTCACAACTTTCAGTCCTTTCAACGTAAAAGTGCTCTCTACTCACTAGCCGTGTTTCCATTACCCTTCAAATTGCGCAAGTAAAAATTGCGAATGGAAAGTACGCTCAATGGAAACACGTCAATTTGTGAGATACGTAAACCTACCAACATCCGTCGCCATGATTGTTGGAATGACTTATAGCGAGAGGAAATGTTTTTTTTTTTATTTGCATTACATCGGTTAATGGAAACGCCGTCATTTCACAATCGTTTTTTTGTCGACATTTAGAAAAAATCGCTTTTTGCATAAATCTGTAATGGAAACGTTCCTACTGACTATGACTAGCCGCCATCCAATGGAGAAATAATGTGTGTAACTTCTGCTGCTGTTCACGGTCAGGGACTATTTTTTCCAGCGGAAGGAAGGCTTTAAGTGTTTTTACTTCATTCAATTTACATTGTTACAAAACAAAATGTTTTTTTTTTCTGTAAAAAAGCAGCTTTACAGAAAGTGCACGAGTCCACATTACAGTGATCTGTTATCAGTTATGGATTTCAGAAATATACATATACAAAATCACAGTTAGTGGAAAATGTATTAATTTAAAGAATGTAGTGATTTAATGCAGTGGAGTAATGAGTCTGTGTGTGTTCTCTCGGCGCAGACCCGCCGGCGGTGGAGCCGGTGTGGCAGGAGGTCCGGCAGGGCTTGGGTCGACCCGTGGGCCTGAACTGTCGTGTCCTGCGGGCTCATCCGTCACGAGTGCTGCGGTTCGAGTGGAGGCTCGGCTCGCGACTGCTCCACGCCGGACACTTCGACTCGCGGGACGAGACCGACTACACCATACGCAGCCTCGCCAGAGAGGGCTACGGCGAGTACACCTGTGACATCATCAACGAGGTCGGGCCGGGGCGCTGCTCGTTCCTGCTCACCG